CCACTTTGTTGCTAGAACATTCCCAGTGTGCCTTCCTAGTGAAGACATCACATTCCACAACATGTGATAATAACATTCTAAAAATATGTATTAGAGCATGGATTTAATAACAACTACTCTAGTTTTAGAAATATGTGAACTACCACCAAACAGAACTGAAAGTTACCTAGTCATATCAGTAATAACTAAATGAGAAACTGGCAGTCACTTGCGTATTGGCACACTCTATACACAGCACTGAACTTTTTGAAAGACCTTGAGTTTAGTTACCATGACAATAATTTATAACCTTACATTCCAACATATGCTAAACAAAAGACTATTATTCAAAAGAATTCTCAAGAGAAAAAATCAAGTTCTTCTTGGTTACTTCAACTATAATTTCAATATTGTCCTAGAATTTATCTCTTATTCTAAAATACAAAATTAAATACAAGAAGCACATTTGCCTTGGTCATGTAGTTGACTGTTCTGTTTTCTGATCTTATTAATTTAACCTCATATGAACAAATTATGATGCCTTGAATTTGAGTGGAGCTTGCCAAATAATCTTACTTATTAGTTCACTGGAAACAAAGTTTTTACAAGTCCATGAAAACTTAAACTGATAAATATTTTAACAATACATTTTCAGCAAAGATTCATATCATTTCTTTTTTCAGCTTGTCAAATTTGAATAACTTATATTTTATATTCCATGTATCCACATGGTTTGATGACTGTACCACACATTTTTAAATTTATCTTGACATAATAGTTTGCCACCAAATTACATGGATAGATAAATTACACAACTCTTTGTTTCATAGGAACAACAAGGGTCAAAAGAAACAATAATAGATGCCTTGGTTAAAATAAAACAATATAAAATAACTTATTAGATCAAAGAACACTAGAGCACTTTACAAAAAATATTTAACTGTGATAATTCTCTAAGACATTATATTATGTTCAATCCAGAAATATAGTCTTAGAATTAGTTATTAAATTTATGGCTAATAAATAAACATATTTTTAGCTTTTAATTGCATATAGTACTGTAATTATTTTATAACAATCAATTACTGCAAATATTCAATAATTTTATTACTTATAAGTTTCAGAAAGGTGAAATTATGCTGCATAAGTAGCTCAATAGGCAATATGTTTGATTTTTTCATGTTCTTTTTTGATACAAACAAACTGAATATTCAAAATAAACTTATCCCTATTTAGAAGCAAGTATATCATAATTATAAAACTGTTTTTAAAACAAAATTCATAAGCTAGAGGGAAACTGAATTGTACCAAGATACATTTATAGGAAAGAAACTTTCAAGAATGCTTTATACTTAAATGTGATATAAGCAGATTATCACAAAACAGTACTTTATTGTATACATGAAGATTGTACTCTAGATGCCAATCATTGTTTGGAAGAAGTTAAGTATGTGTAATGGGCTTTTGACTAAATTACCTCTAAATTTATTTAGGTAATCTGCAATTTAGGCTATACAAAAATTAAGTTAAATCAACGTAAACTTTACAACTTTCTGTCTTTTTTTTTTTTTTTTTTTTTTTTTTTTTTTTGATTTTTTGAGACAGGGTCTCCCTGTAGCTCCAGCTGTTCTGGAACTCACTATGAAGACCAGGCTGGCTTTGAATTCACAGAGATCCTCTTGCCTGTGCTTCCTGAGTGCTGGGATTAAAGGCGTGTGCCACCACACCCAGCTATAGCTTTTCTATCTTAAACAAAACTATGGGTTTACTTTTATTACAGATAAAATTTCAGATATGGCCTGAAAAATTATAATTTAAAACTTGAAAAATGAATCGTAAGAGTTGTGATTAAGTTTAGGAAAATCATTTTAAGTACTTTAGAAATTTTAATTTAAGTCTCTAGAAATCTAAGTATTTAAAGATCCCAATTTACTTATTATGACAACTTGGAGAACTGCCTCAAGATATTCACAGATATACTGAACAGTTCTTAAGTCTATTAAAGACTTGCCTTCAATGAGGTTCAACAAGACTTGTTTAATCAGTAGATTCAGTTAGCAAAGTGAAAAATATTTTACAATATTTCTATATTAGAAATGACTATTTGTTTTACCCCTTTCTGCTAGAAGGCATTGGCTTTCTACTCACTGTACAGCTGAGAGGAAGAAATTATCTCCTGCCTTCTATGTGGCAAAGCTGTCTTTACTAAAGCTGTCTTAGACAGCTTTACTACATAGTTGTGTATGTCCTTTCCTAGGACTCCTTGGTATGCTACATCAGATGGAAAACAGTCCTCTCTTCTCCATGTTAAATGCCTTCCTCGTGCTGAATTTCATTCCCTGTACTCATCTTGACAGAAAAGCTTCCTATAACCATTTTAAATAAAGGAGCTAACTCTCCTAACCATATATGATATTCTTAACTTGTCTCTAGCTAGTTTCTTTATGAAGCACCTTGGCAAAACTGCATGCAACACCTTTTACTGTGTCTTTTCATTCTTTTCCTCTTAGCAGCATTTCATACTTGGTTCCTTTTCTTTATCACTTAAGACCCTGAGTGAAATTCCAAGATCAAATATTCATTTGTGTTTCTCCAGTAACTCTACAAGACCTTATTCTTTTGTAATAGGAAGATGGGGACAGGTGATTCCTTCTTCCTTAGTATAGTACCTTCATGTTTAGTTGGTGATCTCACTCTTCTGTAACAGGAGAATTACCCCTTTAACATTTATGCTATGCAACTTACATCTAATGCTATGGAAATTTCTAGACTATCACAAACAGAACCCCGTCTCATAAAGTCTACATATTGGTTGGGTAGATTTTATTCTCACCAGGCCTAGGAATCCATTCTCCTGTTAAATCTCACAGTATCCTTGTATAAGATTTACAAGACATGAGTATCTTTTCTCTAACTAGCATAGCTAGACAATGATTTGACATTTCAAAGTTAACAAATATCAAATCATATGGTACTAATTCTCTAAACAGAATTGTTCTTACTACCAAATTCTTTGTCTTGAGTAAACATGTCAAGATGAAAGTAAAGTTGTCTTTCTCTACAAATGCAGTGTAGAAGAAAGGCTATGTGGGTCTAAACCTTAGATAGCTAAAGCTTATTCTTTTTCTTCCTTTTCTTTTGCTTTTCCACAACGAGACATGTTCTATCATAGTTTTCATTTACTCATATGAACAAAAATTTTGCAATAATTATACGTGCAATTGACCTCTTTAAACTTTTTTTAACTTATTTTTAAGTCTTTTAAGATTATGTTATTTACATGAATTTTAGAAGCCACTGAATATTTAGTCACAGCTCCCTCTCTAGTATTCTGTTCAGTGAAATGTGTCCAAATCTTCCAGCTCTTCCAACGACATATGTTTTCTACTTCGTACAGAAAATAAGCACTTCTTTGTGGCAGTGACTTTGTCCATGTAACACATTCCCTAAAAGTTTATTAACTCAAACATCTCTGGAAAATCCCATATAATGGAAACATTTCCCATCCTAATTCTACTCATAAATTGGAGTACCTTGCCACATGCTTGTATGGCTACATGGCATGTGTAATCATTGTAATCAATCACAGGTGATTCTGAATGGTGTTGAATGTCTGATTTCCCTACTCATTTCTTAAGAGTCTATGTTCAGGGACAGATTCTATTCTTTCCTCAGATGAATCCACTGTACTTGTCACAAAGCACAACTTTGATGATTCCATTACAGATATTTGAGTGAATTTTAATTATTTCAGAGGCAGTTTGAAACTAAATCATATATTACCACATATTATTTCTGTCTTTTCATTGCACTATCAACTCACAACTTTTTAAAACTCAAAGGAAAAAAAATAAGATAAGTGTGCCATAGTGTTACTTAACCAATGTAATAAATATAGACACATATATGTTCAGGGATGAATTCATGGTAATTAGTATCATCATTTCAAAGATTTATCAAGTTTTTTTCTGCTCAGAAATTTAAACTTTTTTTCCAGTTTTTATAAAATACGTAGTAAGTATGAGCTGCCACTCCCCTACCATGCTGCTGTAGGACACTAGAACTTCAGGTAGCTATGTCCTTGTATCTACTGTAGCACTTATGAATTAATATTAGCAGCAAACAGTCACAGGCATGATTCATTTCAAAATTTACAACCTGCAGCAGTATTGCTTATTCAAATGATTAATTATATTAAGCTTTCAATTTTAGAAATTGGTGTATAAAAATAATAAGTCACATTAATATCACTTTGAATTGAAAGGTTACATAATAAAATTTGATTGAAGTTTTTTTCTATATTCAAAAATATTATGTACTAGTAGTAATAGTGATAAGATTGTAGTAAGTTGGGGTTTTATGCATTAATATTGTACTCTGGTCTTTCTCTAATGCACACATTTATATATAGATAACCATAATATGCATTCACACAGATATTAATGAACAAATTAATAATAATACTTGAATCAATTGGTTTGTGATAAAAAAAAAAAATAAAAGTAACCTGACACTCGACTCTTACTGAAACTGCAGCTCCAGTGCTTTATGTAACTGTATTTTAAGCTGCTTCTGCATCACTGATTTTGGTTCTAAAATGAACCTCATTGGTCAGGCATGGATGGGTTTGCCACCAAGTGTGGACAAGCCTAACCAGAACTGACACACTTGCTCCCAGTGTTTCATAAGGAAGTTGTCTTTTGTAAAGGTTTATTCTGATCTCAACAGAAAATTTTCATATGGGTTTTCATAAAATGTTTTAACTTCCATCCTTTCCCATGTTCAAGGTCTCACCTCATTTCCATTGCTAAAGCTGTCAAAGCAGTTTTTACAAAATAACCAATATCTCATGCCAAGGGGAACTGGCAAACCTTCATGAAGACCTGCCATAATAATCATGATTAGAGCCCAGAAATGGCATTTCATTGTAAATAATACCATTTTCTCTTATTAGGAAAACAAGTCAAAGAGATTAAAAGATGATTGAGTATTATAATTAGAAAGGGTATTGTCTTGCTTACCTTTTATAATGTTGGGCTTTGGGGGCATGCTGAACTCATAAACTGTGGGCTCAGAATATCCCAGTCTATTTGCAGCTGTAATTTGCACTTCATACCCCATTGTCCACTGCAGATGCTCCAAGATAATGTGGTCTTTATTCCCCTGAACCTTCTTCTCTAGCCATTGGTCTTCTTTGTCTTTCTGTTAAAAGAGATAAAAGTATAATTGGTAAATAAACTCATTTTTTCTTGGAATGCAGTGAATGATTTTATTAGTTTTCTTTAGACAGGGTTGTTAATTTCATGTCTTCAGTATTGTTTTTACTATTCGTCTACAGAAAAGGGAATGTCTACATTACTCGAGGATTAATGGCTTTGCAAATCTTTGATCTTTTGGTAGTTTAATTTAACCCATTTAAATTTACTCTTTATTTGACATATATAAGCTTTGTATATGGTCACTTTTTGATTGTTAGTTTAAAAACAAAAAGACGTACCTTTGAAATAACTGAAAAAGAAAATTATTAACAAATTTTGAAGTGGGAGAACTGTCTGAAGTAAAGGCTGCAAATTATGTACTGAATTATATTATTCGTAGTATTTTTTCACTACCTTTATTTTATGAAAAATATTAAAAAATCAAGGAAAATAGAGTACATAAAAATTGGATTATTCTACCCTACTTTTCTTTTGCTTTTCTCTTCTCTTCTTTTTTGATTTTAAAAGTATCTTTTAAAAAATTTAGGTTTAGTTATTTGCAATTATGCTTCAATGTGAGTGCTTCTGAGATATGCACTAATGAGTGCAGTGCCCAAACATTCTGGAAGAAGGCATCAGATACATTGTAACTGGAGTTAAAGGTGCACCTGTGGGTGTTAAGCTATTTTTAAAACAACTACTTTTCTTTTCTGGAAATGCACATCTTGTAATAATCTATCACTGAAATTCCTAATTACTTTATCAGAACATAAGCATAAATAAACTGCAGACTACTGATAACAATCTACAGACTGTCTTGCTTTAAGTTCCCATTTCAGTCCAATATTATATTATGTGTGACCAAAATTTCAGAACGCTTGTTTCTGCAGAGAATAATAATCAGTTTATGAATAATCATAAAATCACTCATTGAAATTAAATTGTGAATTATCACAAGGTCATTTTCACTTGTCACTTCAAAAATGAGTATTCCTGAGAATAAAACAGATAAGCATTATTGGTAAAATGAGACTTTCATTATTGTCTCTTTCTAGTGTGCTGTTACTTTTTAAAGACTTTTTTTTACCCTTTCTTTCTTTCTTTTTTAAATACTTTATTTACTATTTATTTATTTATTTATTTATTTATTTATTTATTTGTTTGTTTGTATTTTTTCGGAGCTGAGGACCGAACCCAGGGCCTTGCACTTGCTAGGCAAGTGCTCTACCACTGAGCTAAATCCCCAATCTCTCATTATTTTTATTTTATGTGTATGAGTGTATTGCTTGCATGTAGGTATGTGCACCCGTGTCGTGCAATGCCTCGGAGGTCAGAAGAGGGCGTCGGATTACCATGGAGCTGGAGTTAAGGACGGTTCATAGCCGCCATGTGGGAACTGGGAATTGAACCTGGGTCTTCTGCAAGAGGAATCAGTGCTCTTAAGTGCTAAGGCATCTCTCCAGCTCTAGTCTGTTGTTATTTAGAAATTAAATATTTAAATACTGGCAATGTAGCTTTGTTTTTAAGGAATCCTAATTCTCAAATAAATACAAAGATGCTTGCTTTACTTCTGAAGCTTGGAAACAGACGTACTTGCCCAAACGGCCTTTTCCAAAATATGAAAAATTGATGAAATAGACTCCAAAACTGAAAGGAATAGTTATATCTAAGCGATCTTTAGGTATGCTTTGAAATACATAAGAAGGCTGCAACACCACCCCCCCACCCCCCCGCTCCCTCTCTGTTGATATGTGCCTTCTTAAGACAGGGTCTCCCTGTAGCCCAATCTGGCTTGGAAGTCACTATGGATAACAGGCTGGCCTTGGTCTCATAGAGATCCGCCTGCCTCTGCCTCCCAAGTACAGGGATTAAAAGCATGCACTAACATACCCAGCTAACAATTTTTTTCTTAAATTACCCAGTCATCACTGTTTATTTAGTTTTTCTTGGAGTCCAGAAACTTAAACATGATGGTGACTAAAACATAGAATTCTTTCTTAGTAAAGGTCACAATCCAACAAGAGAAATGTTATGAGACTTTTAAGAACAGGAGTATGTGGTGATGGCTTGAAAAGGCTTTGATGGATTCCAAAGATCAGGAACATCTCCCATGGAAATAATGCCACCTTTCCTGGAAACAACAAACTACAGTGCCATTTTTATTTTCATTTTTCCAGTTTGATTAATTAAAATCCTGATAAAGGATGATTTTTTAGAGAGTTTTACATAAAAAAATAAACTGATGATTTTAAATCTCATAAAGATACATGGTATAGACTGAATCTTGGATATTCCCCAAAGACCCATGAAGTAAATTCTTGTGCTCAGCCTGTAGTAGTTTAGGGAGACTGTGGAACATTGAAAGGTTCAGACTATTAGGAAGAAGTTAGATCTTTGGGGTGTTCATTTGAAAGCTGCCCTGGGACCCCATGTCCTTCTTGCTTCTCTCTGCTTTCAGGCTGTCAGTACGTGAGCAGCTTTGCTCCACCAAGTACTTTCCATCCCTCTACTCTGCTTCACCACAGGCTGAAAATCAGCAGAACTGACTAACCATCAACTGAGTGAAGCCTGTGAAGCTAGATGTCAAAGTAACCCTTTCCTCTCTGTTCCACAACTGAAGCAAATTGTCACAGTACTGGATTATAACAGAATTACTAGGAGATGTAAAATAAATCTTGAATAGTTTCAAATACATTCATATTTATTGAGCGTTATATATAAACAAAGGCCACACACGCCTGTGGAGACTTAAGTGCTTCTGTGCCTGTGACATGACTACTATAATTTGGGTCATTTTAAGTAACTATGAAGAATTTGGTATAATTTGTGAGGCTATAGTATAGAATTTTAACTTGTATCTGAGTCAAGCTATGTGTGGAAATTTAGAATAACTCAACAAGTGACATCTATATTATTCCAGGATAAAGGCAACTCTTCAGACTAGAAGTCGTTTGTGTAAGCCTCCAACAATCCCCAAAGTACATAATTTATAGGACTTTGAGCACTTTAGGTATGATGTCTAATTTTCCAACTTTCTGTTTCTGGGAATCAAGCACTTGAGATAATATTATCTTCTGAATTAACAATCATTTAACTCTTAATTGCTCAAGCACTTAATGCAATAAATTAAAATCCTGCCACTTTAGACTGATAGTATAAGAAACCAAAAGGAAAGATAATATTTTTCCTATATAAATCAATTTTACTTTTCATTCAACTTTAGACAAGGAGGTATTTTAATCCCTTAATTACTATTCCTAGGGAATAGAAAAAAAATAAAGTAGGTGTTACCAAATACTCCCTTAGGCATGAAAATCTCAATTATGCATTTGTAGAGTGCCTAATTGGCAGAACCTAAGTGCCCAGGGAATGATTTAAGATAACTAGTGGCAAAATGTTCCCCTAGGTAGCTTAATGAGATGATTTGCTGAATAGGACTATTATTAATATGCCAATTAAATGGTGAAGGACAGATCTAAAAAGAAAAAAATAGAAATGTGATATTTTGCCTGGGCAGTTCTTCTATTATTTAATCCTTTGTGGCAGAAAATAGCAGACCATACCTCAATTAAGGACATGTCTTTAATGGTGATTTTCATCCTAACAGCCATTTCTGTGCATGGAGGAGAAAGGAGGGATATTTTCTGTGTTACTGCAGAGCTCCTCGATGCTCCAATTAATAATAATACTAATTAATAATAATAATAATAATGTACCACTTCTACTTGCTTTTTAAGACATCATAGAATATAGCCAACATAATGCTAAATAAAAATGAATAATTATAAAATGAGAAGATATATCAATTCCTCTAATTTCTAGAGTGTATAATTTAAGTTAGCTCATGCATAGAA